TTATTACTATCAGTTCATCGTTGTAACAAGGTGGCTCGTACAATAAAACTCAAGTACGATAGAACGAGAACATTGAAGGAACGAAAGAGAAAAATTTCATACAATGAACATTTGAGCATCACATGTATTCAAAATAGTCGTAGCGTGAGCAAGTTGGATAAGACAAAAGGGATAGAGGGGGGGGGGGGTAGCCCGCCGAGCAGGGGAGGGACAGGACAGCTCAGAAGGGCAGTGGGCCGCCAACACTGCAAGTTCTCACGGGCGCAATGAGAACTCCGGATACCATCGTAGTAGGTCCGCCAACTTTGCTGAAGTCCACGTGCCACAGCGGCAGTAGGTCGAGGGTCGAAGGGGGGGGGGGCAAGGCAGAAAAGAACCAATAGTGCAAAACAACAGAAACAGAGTGAACCACGAAGAGAAGGGCATTCAAGGAAGAGGATACAGCAGCAGTTTATAATTGATCAGAATACAATTTCCCAAGTACATTGGGTCACAAAAAAAGAAATTAGATCAGCAGGCTTTAAACAAGAAGTCCCGGGAACAGAATGAACATGGGTCTAATCAGCTTCTCGTCCTTAAAAAAAATGTATTAGTTGGGAATAGTTCTAGCTGAATTTGAGCTAACTATGAAATCATAGCATGAACTTATCGATCAACCTTACTGGAAGACAGTTGAAGACTTTCGTTGGGCGCAGAATTAGTGGGACTTTTGAGAGAATAGGCAGGATGACTCTGGAACAAAGAGGCGTGCTTCCATCTGAAAAAGTCAGGTTCTAATGCTTGTATACCAAAGATTATACGAAGTTATACAAGGAAATGATTCATTGATCCACCTGAGCACTTACCGGGTTTCTCCGCAGTGCTACTGTGACATGCTGATAATGTTCTAGTGTTTTTTTTAGATGTGTCACAGAGTGGTTTGGTATCGATGACGAGGAGATGAGTGATGGTGAAGAAAACAACGATCCACTGCTTTTTGCGACTGGACCACCTAAAAAACGTAAAATGTGAGAAAATGTTTAAGTTTTCGACCGTTCAAATATTATTGAGTTCAAGAACCAAGGTAAAATAGTGTATTACTTTTCGGGGTTCATATATGTAGATCCGTTTCTTTTTCCTGTTTTCTTTCGCCTTATTTCCCTCCTTTTAAATTTCTTTTGTATACTTGTTTTTACTGCTCTTTTTATGTCCATTCAGTTCATATCGGTCTATTTTTGCTTTATAGTGTTCTATGATTGAAGAACTTTCAAAGCCATTTCTTCTCTGGATTCAACTCTTACTCTTTGTTTCTTGTGGTGGGCATGTCGAAACTGCAGCCTATATTATAAATAGCAGTATACATAGCAAATGGGTAGCACGAAGTGGGTGAAAATCCAGTTTGGAGGGGAGGGAGCACTCCATTGTGTTCTCCAATGCTTAAGACAATAATGAGAACGCTAATCGAGTCATTGGAGGCATATAAGTCCAGCTGTAGTGCGGAAGTAACCTTGACCATGAGGTTCCTCTACAATTTGGCCTGCAGTATTCCAAGAAACGATCTGAATCAGGGGAATGGAGATCTTTGCCTCGGCTCTAAGGGTGGAGGAGCTCCAGGGTGGATGACCTGGTGCAGAAAATTGGATAGGTTTGGGCAGGTTGTGTAGAATGTAAGACATCTACTGGTGCACTTCAAATTTGTTGTTCACATTATCTTATCCTCAGCGTCAGAGAGTCTAGAGGGATGCTGTCTAGGAATAAGATACCAAGGAGTATCCCCCCTCCAAATTTTTATTCACATAGCGTATTGAAAAATACATAATAAAAAAACGCAAGTGAGAATCGGCGAAATGCTATCTGAATGGAACAACAAGTATCTTACTTCCACTCGCTTTCTCTTTTAAATTGCATCAGAGCTAATTTGAGTGTAATGTGGTCTATCTTAGAACGGATGCTCCGGATGACGAGCCGCCGAAGCTGATTCCAACCGCGCATTATCGGCTTGTCTATGGAGGCAATTCATTGTTCTTATTTTTCCGCGTCCATCAAATGATATGTGACCGGCTTGGCAAAATGAAAATGAAGCATGCTGAACAAATGAAGGATTATGAGGTTTGTTAGGTTTCTCAGGGTTGCATTCTAATTCCCCATGTCCCTGTAATTCCACTTTTCATATATTTATATACCTGCTCTTCGTAATGATATTCCACCTGTGGAACATAATATTATAGCGTTTTTTTTTCGAGCGTATAAATTCAATTTATGAGCATAACCCGGAAAACGTTATCATTAGAAAGAATTTTTTCCGCTCTACGACGGCTTATTTGTCCAATTTTATAACTGTGCTTGGAATCGAAGACTTCGCAAAGGGGCTCGATATCTTTTTCATTCTACATACAGCAATTCAAATGGAATCATGTGTTTTGAATAATGATGGAGAGAAGTCATTGAATAGTTTTGTGTTTCTCTGGTTTGCTTCAAACGTTTATGCTGAATGCAAGCTCTGGTTAAAATGTTCCAACCCAGCACCGCTTCAAGTGAAAGTATTATTATGAGGTGCAGTGTATTAGGTTGTTCCAAAAGTCCTGTCCGTGAGATTTTGCTAACATCTATTTCTTTAATCACTATAGTCACCTTAATTTTGAAGTTCATCCATCTGTCGAACGGCTGGATGCAACTTCTCTTACAAATACAACGACTACTCAGTAAAAAGTCGTAAGGCGTTACCTTGAACCTTACCTTATCTTCGTTTCGAATTAGTGATCGTTTTAGGTAGAGCTTCTAGTTGCACACATACTGCAGAG